CCTATTGATTTTATGGCTTGTATGTATGTCTGGTTTAACTTTTCCTTTTTTACCATTCCTTTATTGGTGCATCTTTTTTTTTTTTGCCATTTAGATTGAATAATTTGATTGTTAATGAGAGCAAATTTGAACTCGATGCTTTCTTTTTGGAGGTAAAGTGTGTACCATTAGGCACGATATAGGGACAATTCACTGAAATTTTCCTGGATTTCATACAGAAGGAAAATCAGTGAAAGAAATGGTTGATGAGGCACTTAGACACGTTCCTAATACTTATGGTTAGTTTACTCAATCCTGCTTCATTGTTGAACAGATGCTTCTTTATGTTAATCTTGCATTCTTATTGAGATAATCTTATGATGGTGTGTCTCTTTTGTATCTTCAGGTGACAAAAATATTGATCAGGTATTCCTTCTATGACCATACTTGTAGGCTATAACTTGACTATTCTTATTCTTGGATAAAAAATTTCACAATTCCTGGAACGTTATCAGGTTAACCAGATTCGGGACTCCTTAGCTGTAATGGGGGATAACTGCACAGCTTTTAGCTTACCACAAGTATGAGTTCCAAATATGTTTGTTATATTGCTCAAATATTACCTTGGCTCCTTCACTATTCTCCCCGTTCCCATTGTTGTTGTCGTTCTGAACAGAAAATTAAATGGATGTTTGATGTGTATGATGTACATGTTTTTTAACATGCATCGAGCATAAGAATTATGACATCGTGTAACATAGACTTTTTAGAAATCATAACTTTGGTCAATATTTATATTTTGTTTTATGTGGTGGTGAATGTTAAGGCAAAGACATTTGTGGGCGCTAATAGTGACATTTAGGATGATGGAATACATATATGCCTTTTGCTGTATATCTATGTTATTTGATGGCAAATGGATAAAATTATTGTTAAACCCGAGCATTTAACATCTAATTGCTTGAAATTTGAACTTACAGCCTCATCTCATGCGAACGAAGCTTTGCGACTTGAAGGATGATGACCTTGATCCCATGTATGTTAAGAAAAGAGATCAACTGAAAGGGCTTGTAGCTAGTATTATACGCCCAAAGATTGTGCAGGGCAAGCATTTAAATGGAAAGGAATTTGTTGCATTCCTCGAGCAAGTTAGTTTATGTTACACATTCTCAGACCTTATAAGTTGGATTTTACAAAGAGAATTCTTAAGTTAGTCATTGCTTGGGTGGTGATTGATTGATGTTGAACTTAGCTTTATTAATATGCATTTTTATTTTTAATCTTATAGATACTCGATGCTTTGAACAAAGGGGAGATCCCATCTACGGGCTCTCTTGTAGAGGTTTTCAATAAAGGTATTCTCGAGCGATGTTTGAACCTATACAATGAAAGGATGGGAAAATTAGGTTTACCTATGCCAGAGCAAACCTTACAAGATGCCCATGAAAGATCCCGAGAGGAAGCAATGAATGCTTTTGATGAACAACATTTTGGCCGTCACTATGCGAAGAAATCTGCTGAGCAACTGGATGAAGAAATGGAGGTATTGACTGATTCTTTGAGGGGCATTTATTTTTTTTTATCAATGATAATTCATAATGTCGTACATTTAAATTTTTTTACCTGGGGCATTCAAATTCTTGGTTCTTTTTGTCAACAGTTCAAATTCTTGTTTACAGATGGGACACGGGGGGCAAACTAAAATGGACAATCATATGAGAAGTTTTACTATAGAAGACATTGCATTTGCCTTTTATGAAATTTCAGCTATTTATCATGCTAGGCGTGTTCTTGTGTATCTGATAGACACGTCTGCCTGGATTTTCTTAAATATGTTCTGTATGTAGTCTGATCTATACAAGCTTTTGTAATTCTCATGTCCTGAATGCGGAAAATTTCTTTTAGGCATTTAAGAATGTCCTTATGGCGAATGAATATCAGTCGACAAAGCTCTGTGAGGAACTATATACCCGATGCGAGGATGCAATGGACCAACTTCAAGTTCTTAGGCTTCCTTCTATGGCAAAATTTAATGCAGGGTTCCAGCAATGTAACAATAGCTTTGACCAGGATTGTGTTGGGCCTTCAAAAGTAAATTACGAGCAAAGGAGGATGAAGGTAATCAGGAACCTTTGCAGTTCTTTTCTGTTTCTGTTTCTTTTTTCTTATGAAATATTGTTTCCTTCTGTTGTGCAATATTTAGCTGGAAAGATGAAGAGTGTTCATTCAAATTTAGTGATTAAAAGCTTTGGACGGAATCGTTTCAAATGAGTCTTAATCAATTTAATGCTTGTATTACTGAAGTTCTTTGTCCCTGTTGAATAACTTTTTTTCGATCTCCAACGATGGAGCTGAAACCAAAATAATCTCAATTCAACGAAATCCTGTCCTTTTGAAGGAACTGTAGATGAGAAGTGGGGAATGCCATTCAAAACTTGCTTATTAAATGGAAAAGATACATTTATGGTGCTTTGTAGTTGAAATTACAACTATTTGTATTCTTCGTCTTTGCTACATAATATGTTTTCCTCTGATGTAATTGCAGATGATGGGAAAGGCACGCTCTCTATTTATCAAAGAATATAATCAAAGGCTCTTCAATTGGTTGGTGGCCTTCTCCCTTGTCATGGTGGTGGTTGGTCGGTTCATCATAAAATTCATATTGGTCGAGATGGCAGCTTGGGTACTGTTTATCTTCTTAGAGACGTATACAAGGATGTTCTGGTCAGCGGAGTCTCTTTACTACAACCCTGTGTGGCACTTTATCGTAGCCTCTTGGGAAACGATAGTCTATAGCCCCTTCCTTGATTTGGACAGGTAATAATATTTAACATAATTGCCTTCGCTTGCTTCTCGATACAAGCTTGTTCTTGTATGCCACTCGGTCTTTCTGTGTTCATATCTTACATGCTTGTATTTGTTTTGGCAGATGGGCCATTCCCATTGCTTGTTTGATAGCAGTAGGGATACTATATTGCCGGTGTTACTGTGGAAGAAGGAAACACGGGTCGCCGTGGCTTTTACCTCTGTACAACGGCCATCAGAAAAGTGGTTCAAATAGACCAAGATCAGATTAATGAAGAACCATCTGCTTTGACCGTGCCATTTGGTTTGGCTTGCTTTTGAGCAATCACCTGGGGCGACCTTTTTCGATATTTTTAGTTCTCGTATGAAAGGGCCTGTCGAACGATATCTTGTTCCTCATGATGATCTGAGATCAGTCGAGTCTAAGGCCGGGAAAGAATGAGAAGATGAGGCAGAAAGGCAGCCAAACTCTATAGTATCTTTTTACTGTACCATTTTTAACTCAAATTCATTTGTATTATCTTAATATGATCATTTGATTTGTTTCAAATGCCAATTATTTAATAGCTTCAGTTTCCCCTCTTGTTTTTATAGAAGATGAACTGTTTATATATGAAAATTATTATCAGTGCTTTTGAATATTTTTTTTTTCTGTTTGCAGACAGCATATAAGAGTTAACTGCATTGACGTTTTGTACTGCAGACTGAAGATGTCTTTTAATAATGGCATTAGCTGATTTAGTCATCAGTTTAGGCAGATGATTTCCTCGTGCAAATCTTCGTACTGCCCAACTTTGCGCATACTCTCACCGGGGCTTAGCAGGACACGACGGTGGATTGGCTGGAACGGGCGTGCGAGTTGGAGCGCCAATGTTTCTGCAGCTCAACTCAGCTGATGGCGCCGGGCATCTCGGTGAAATCGGTGGCGGTGGAGGTTTAAACTTTCAAAGACAGTGTTTTCGTTGGGATTAAGCTTGGAGAAAGGCACAGGCGGATTTCCAAGGTGGAGTTTTTAAGAACTTCCTTCGTTAAACTCAATAATGAGTAGAAAAAAGCAAAAGGACAGACGAAGAAGAGACGAAGAAGATGAAACAAAATGAGCGGCTGGGTTTGCTCGGCCGCATTGACTCAGCCCAGTTATCGGGCCTTGAGGAAAATAGGTTCAGTTTGGGATTTGGATTAGGCCAGCTTGAAATATCTCGACGCCGTACTTAATCATTCTGAGAAGTGAGAATGCAGAGAAAGATCACACCTTGGCGCCAAAAGGAGGAGCACGATTAATACCGTAAATAAGATGAGACAAATCGTGAGTTATTTGAGATCAATTCGATTAAAGTTCGATAAATACTCGGATCGAATGGATTCAACTCGAACTTAATTTCAACTCGAATTTTTAACGAGCCGAAACGAGTTACTTAATACTTAACTCGAAAAGCTCGTGAATAGCTCGAAAATATAATATATTAATATTTTATTTTTTTAAAAATAAATTATTAATAATATTAACATTTATGTGTTGATTTTTTTAAAAAATACAATAAGACTTTCATGTATTTAAGGTTTATGTTCGAATTTGAATTTGAAAATTCAATCTTGTTAAGTTTAAGATTTTTTTTATTTCGAGTCTTTTCGAGCTGCTCACGAGCTTCAGTTCAAAATTTCGAGTTCGAGTCGAGTTTAAAAATTTTAAGCACGCGAGTTTTCAAGTTGAATCGAATTTCATTTCAGAATTTTCGAATCGAGTCGAATTCACGACTCTCGGCTTACACCCCCTAGCCACGATTAGGGGTGTATTCGGTTCGGTTCGGTTCGGTTTTTTACCAAAAACTGAACCGAACCGAAATAAACGGTTTTTCAATATTTAAACCGAAACCGAATAGTTAAAAAACCGAAAAAATCGAAACCGATTTTTTCGGTTCGGTTCGGGTTTTTTAACAGTTTGGGTTTTTCGGTTCGGTTTTTCGGTTTTTCAATGAAAAAATCACTTGAAACTATAATTTTTTTTACAAAAATTGCCTATTCGGTTCAATATGGAACAAATGGGTTCCATATGGAAAACCCGAACCGAACCGAATCAAAAAAATGAAACTTTTAAACCGAACCGTTTAAAGCCAAACCAAACCGAACCGTTTTACTTGGTTCGTATCGATTTTTCGGTTTTCTCGATTTCGTTGCTCACCCCTAGCCACGATGGCGATTGGGCAAACCCTAATATCAAGCAGAAACATGTTGTTCACCGTCGTCCCACAAAACCCTTCCTTTCTTCCCATCTCCAACTCCCCGGAACTCGTCTTTTTTCCTTGACAAAAGACAGCGTTTTTCCTTCCGAACACTTAAATGCTCCGTCGATTACAGAGACCAAAACTACAACCTTCAAGCTTCGTACCCAAGACCTTCAGAAATCCCGTGGAGCAAGGACCTCTACAATACGGTGCACCTAATCGGAAATGTTGGTGCCCCCGTCGGAATCAAACACTTGCCTTCCGGCAAAGTCCTCGCCTGGACTCGACTTGCCGTCAGAAAATCCGCCACCGATACTAATTGGTAAATTTCTATACTTTTTAGGGAATATGAAAATTTAGTTCAAATTTGTACCTTTTGGCTTTTGTTACCCATATTTTGTCATTTTTCATTTACCAAAATTAATGCTTAGGATTAATTTGACATTCTGGGACGAGCTTGCTAATACTGCGTATCAGCATGTTGAGAAAGGGCAACAACTATATGTATCTGGTCGTCTGGTTTCGGATACGGTTGAAAGCGACGATGGCAAACTGCAAACTATTACAAGGTACTTACTATCACTATGAACCCTTTGTTTTTTGTTTCTATTTCTTAGCTCATCGATGAATATAACTATATTCTTATTGCTTTTCTTGTATTTGGTATTGCATTATAGATAGTTGTCCAACAAATAAATTTCATCGAAAGGAACTCGTCCTCTGCGGCTTCATATGAACGTGTATTCGGTGGTAAGTCAGGTAGTAAGTCATTTTCCGAATGACCAAAACAGTTTTTGGTAAATTGCAGTGTGCTTTTGGTTTACATTTTTGGTTTTAACTGGGATTTAATTATGGCAGATAGGAAATTTGGCAACAATGGTGCAAATAATACCGGATCTCCTATGGAACTATGACAAGCCTCTTTTGCCAATCCTACTGAATGGTGGGATAATAGGCAGAACAAGGTAGCTGTTCGGTCTCATTTTGAAATTGGAAGTGCTTTGCTTTTATTTGATGCGGTCTTATGCTGTTGTATATGCTTTTATGGTTGTGACACACTTGAACCTATAGAAATAAATGATTTACTATTGAAAACATTTTTTCAGGCCCTTTATATCAAGTGTTTTAACTTGATGTTATGTCCTCTATGTGCAGAGGAACCCTAAATATCCGGATTTTAAACACAAGGACACTGGAGAAGCTCTGTGGATTGAAGGTAGGAATACTCCCCACTGGGTGAAATCCCAGTTGGAGATACTAGATTCTAAAATAAGCTCTCTGCAAGATGAGGATGAAAGGAAGTTTTCTTTGATGGCTGGTGACGATCTCTTGCCTTTCTAATGGTTTATACTAGTAGTGTATAATGATGGTGCTATAGGTTGATTAATCTGGCAAGGTGCTTTGCATTCTGGATGTGTAAGTTTTTGTAAGTCTCAATAGCCGGAAGATGTTGTTCTGTAAAACTGTGCATGCATTTTGAGTTTCGAAACTATCATTAACTATTAATGTCTGTAGAACATATTTGTACTCGGACGGTTGCCTTTCGCTGTAATTACTATGAAGATATTGATGATTCAATATTTGATATTGTTGTTTTCAAGTTTCACCCCATGCCTTCTTTGGAGTTGTAAGAAGCAAGACAATTAGACCTTAATAATTATTGCCTTTGATTTAATCATATTGTTACATATGCTTTTCCTGGGGAAAATTGTAAAGCAATCTATAGTATTTCCTATGTACAGTCAAGTCTCAAGTATATTTCTACATGCTTTCCTGCCTTTTGTTCTTGTGCTGAATGTTATTTATAAAGTACAGATACTCTAAGTAATGGAGGCCGTCTTGTTAATCTCCGAAACTTTCTTCCAGCAAAAAGAGCCCTTGACTTCCCGGGAAGAACAAATCAATCTTCCTCGTGGGATTTCGATGATCTAAGCCAAAGAAAATCTCCTTGTTCTTTGTGGGAGGCTTATACACAGCCCAAGCCCCTGGCTTCTGATCCTTTCATGATTCTCAGCCTCATGCAGGATGAGATGAACATTCTGTAAAACAAAAGCAAATATTGACGAGTTTATTGTAAAAGAACAGAAGGAACACATACAAGCATATATAATGGTTGGTTGTCCCTTTTTTCCCATATGTATGGGGTAAGGGGGAGGTAAGATAGTAGGTTGCCCCCAACATATATATGTAAAAGAGAAACAGGTTTGGGGAAAGAACTTACTCCCAGGGAACATCTCCAACAAGCATCCAGTCACCATCTTTGTCTTCATAAGTGGGAGCATATTCAGATCCATTGTACCCTTCTCTCTCTGTGTAGGCTCCAATGGTGAGCTTGAACATGTTCTCCAAAGCCTCGAGGAGTTGAGGGTAGTTTCTATAAATCTTGAGATCAATCTTTCTGAGATAAGCAGCTCCGTCAACGCTCACTTTTACATACCCCCCTGTGTCTTGTACGCAGTTTTTCCTGTATGATCTGATCGGCGGCCATCCTACAACTTGTTCCCTGCGTTCATACAAACAGTCAACCATTACAATCTAAACTTTGATTCCACTAAAAGTTTACAAAAACACAAGGTTTCTCTTACTTTGCAGGAGGAGCACTGTCTTGATGATCATCGTTTCCATCGTCTGTCACGTCGGAACTACTGATCTCCGATATAGTTCTCTTGTTTGGCCTAGGGGTCGTTTGTTTCTCCGGTTCATCGCTTCCTGGCAACCCCAATCGGAGCTCCGTTGCCTTGAGATTGAGACCATTATCATAATTCACTTTCATTATCAAAGCTAAAAACACTTGGGGATGTTGGTTTTTGATTTTGTGAGGTGTTGTTCCTTTGAGTATCTTTTTCTTTGTTACTATGTTGCAAAAACCGTGTGTTGATAATGGGAAAGAGAGGTGAAGGAAGCTTGTTTTATAGGGGGTGGATTTGTTTCAAGGCGACGATATCTAATGATCTTAGCTTCTGCATGCGTTCTCATAGATGGGAAACCATAACCCCACGCACGCGGTGTCGTACGCGCTTCCTTGACGGCCAATCAATGGGGTTACATGGAGGGGAAGCGCGTGGGGAGGATACTATGACAGCGACAGATATGGCTGCCTGTCACATGTGGGGGCAGCGTTGAGTTAGGGTGCCCAAAGTGAAGGGGACAAAGGAGAGACAAGCACAGCCGATGGTATTGAAGACTGTGGGCCAAAATGGACGGCTGAGATGGGGTAGTTTTGAGAGTGAATCCAGGAGCGTTGGATCACGAGAACATCTCATGTGAAGAAAAGAGGATCCCACGTGGATATCGATCATTACCTAATGGCTGATTTACACGTGGGGCCCTTCGTTTTAATTCATTGGGACACATGAAATGTGGCAATATGGTACCCTTGGCTTCACTCTTAAGGTCTTGGGGCATTGCCAGCCCAAACTTTGAAACCATCCCAAAACAGCTTTGTTGGGTAGTGGGCCTCTTTTACTTGGCGGTAATATAAACACTGAATTTTATGTTATAAATATAAAATATTAAAATATTATATTAAAATTGTAAAATTAGAACTGGATTGCTTTCATCCTTCATTTCCCTGCTTTGCCTTTTGGAAAATGGGAGGATAAGCAAGAGCTGCCTCTGGGTAAAAGGGTAAAAGGGGAAAGGGGGCACACGTGTGGTGTGATAAATGATGATGCTGACGGTAAAGGCCTCTGGGCCTACGTCCGCACGTGGCGGCCAGAAAGCAAAGCCTTAAAGTAAGAAATTTGGACTCTTACATGGAGAATAAGCCCAATTACCATTAAAGATCACCTCCCCCACCTATCCTTCCCTTTAATTATTGTATTTCGCCTTTGCTTCCCATGCCCATCAATCGTACCATGCCATCACATCACCATTTTCAAATACATACATACATGCATCATCATATGTAAACACCTCAACCCATCATTTTCTATATGGGTTCTTTCAAATTATTATTCTCCTTAGAAGGGGTATGATCATGTTACATAATGTAAATTTTTTTTAGTTTTACACTAATTTGGGATCGTTGGATGAGTGAAAATAGATAGTTGAGATTAAAAGTATGAAATGTCAAAATATTTATTGGGAGAAACAAGGAGTTAATCTCAGCCATATATTTTCACTTATCCAACGATCATAAATCTGTGTAAAACTAAAGAGTTTTATTTCCTAACCCCCTTAGATAATGAGTTTTAACTCACTAAGAACACTCTCATTCCTTCCTCGTCTCTTTCCCTTTCCCTCTAAGTAAGATTAAGAATATGCCAAAAAATTAATCACATTAATGATCATTTTCTCTAAAATAATAACATTGCACAAATTAATTACTAAAAAAATAAAATAAGATCCAACAAAATTAATGATACAAACAAATACCATTGCATGTAATGAAGGATAAACATCATCGACACTAACATAAAATACATATAACATGATGATATATTGACAAATTAACTTTATCATAGATCATTTGTGATATATAGTTAATAATGATAAGTTATCAACATAAACTAATCAATTTGAGATTCCAAAACAGTAATAAATAAGATAAGTGAACAAATATTAAATCAAGAGGCAACGTTAAATTCAACTTTAAAAATTAGGGTAAAGTACACAAATGATATTTCGACTATAGTACGATGCTTTGTTGAGTCCCCGATCATTAAAAGTTACAAAATGATTATTCAATTATTCATATATTACAAACTCGTCATTTTCCGTTAAAAAATTGATGGCAGTTTGAGGTGAACGTTAACCTGCTAAATATGATATGATAAAATATGATCTCCTAATCTTAAACGACTATCATATCTCAGTCATTACGTTAACATCCAATTCAAACAACTATCAGTTTTTAACGAAAAGGACGAGTTATGAACATATGAATAGTCAGGTGACCATTCTGTAACTTTTAAAAATCAAGGGACTCAATAAAATAACACCCTATAGTCATAGAGTCATTTTGTAACTTTTAATAGTCGAAATACTTAATGGAGTAGTACCCTATAATTAAGTGACCATTTATATACTTCACCCTAAAAATTGTTATAAACACGATACTTAGGGGAAAAGCTACAAGTTGTTAGCACGTATTAAATTCTTTTTATATTAATATGGGGGAGTACAAGGTAATATTTGTTCAAATATAACTCTCAATCATTTGATATTGAACGCTCACAACTCTATTCTTAGTACTCGAACTCGATATCTCAAAAAATAAAAAATAACAACAATTCATTTATCGAACGCTTTTAACTATAAGAAATTCAGTCATAGAAAAAAAATCCTTATTCAAATTCAAAAACCTTGACTTGGTAGCAATGACACGTGAATGTGGGTACTAATTCCATTAATTGTGATGAGTGCAACCCCTAATAATAGAAGTAAATGGGCCATTCCTTGCTTACATTGGCCTCAACCTTCCCACTTTCATACCTCTATGCATCGGATGAATTCTCCGGTTTTGGCCCCTTCCGGCAACCTATAGGTGAGACACTACCCATTAATACTTTCTTGGTTTCATTCTCTTTTGGTATCATAATCACCCATTATTTCTTTAATAATTCGATTTTATCTCGTCCACGTGGCCTTCTTCTCACGAAAAAAAAAAATTATTATTTTTATATTCGAGTCTTACAAATATATTATAATTTTGGGTATATTATGCATTTAGTACTTAAATTAGCAGTTTTGATATGTTTTAGTATCTAAACTTTAAACTTTTACCAAAATCATACATAAAGTTAATTTTTATTTCATTTTAGTACATTTGTTCTAACGTTAAGTTTTAGCACGAACCGAGTGACCACATCGATAAATGAATTTGATCAATATTGAACTTGGACTCGTAAACTACGTATATATGACTCCAAGTTCAAAGAAACTAAGACTTGGTCAATATTAAATCTATTTGATTAATTAAGGGTATCATAACATTAGGGCCTTGTCCTCGAGCAACAGTCGCCGATTGCATTAAATAGGACGGTTATGATTGCATGAATAATCTATACTGAGACGAACTTAGCGATATCGGTGGTAAAAGAATTGTTATTTTATGAGATCTCGAATTCGAGCGCCAAGAATGTTAAAGGTGTGAGAGTTTAATATCAAATGGTTGAGAGTTATCTTTTAAACAAATATTATCATATATTTACCCTAAATTATTAAAAAAAAATCTAAGCTGGTGAATTTAACACTTATATTTGTTAGCCTTTAGGTGGAAAATACATTGCATTTCAAACCATTTCATTTTCCCTCATAATTTATGTATCAAAACCCTAAATTCCATCATATATGATCTATTTGATTATAAAATTTGAGGTGATAAAAAGGAGGACAATGTTTTTGCTTCCAGTATTCCTAAATGGTATGAATCAAGTGATCTGTGTGGTAAAAAATATTGTTGTTATACCTTTAAGTTTCGAATTCGAGCATAAAAATATCAAAATATAAACATTCAATATTAAATAATCGAGGGTTATCTTTAAATAAATATCGTCTTGTAGTTACCTATATCGAAAAAGAAAACTTCCCTGAACGTAGCCTCCGTTTAGCCTCTTAAGATGCGAACATGCCATCATTTCATTATCATAAGTGCAAACCACAAACACACTTTTTTATATATAAAAAATCATATTATTATTAATAATAATAATTCGGAATGGATCTGTTGTTAAACTGGGATTTCATTAATTAACTGTAATAATATTTTATAGAGTAAATTATTTATTTAATTCCTCATTTATTTTGTGTTTTTAGTTTAATTATTCAATTATTTAAAATAAAAGCACATATAATTTATTTTTTATTTTAACTATTAATTATTGAATTAACGAAAATGATGATGTGACATAATATAATAATCTTTTTAATTCTCAAATCTTAATAATAATATGACTAAAACTGAAATACAATAATAAATAGGTCCCAAATAAGTAATTTATCCTAATTTATATTAAAAGCATAAATTTTCGGGAATATAGCTGCAACAAGATTCTTTAATGTATTTGTTTTCTTTTTTGACCATTTTAGTTTCTTCGGGTTCTTTCTGAACCCCAAACCCTAGCCATTTGACCTTTAATTAATTTTTTTATTATTAAATTTAAATATCGATGAACACAAGTACATGACCACCGCCAATAGGAAACAAAATAACAAAATGTGTTGCCAATAATAGAGAAATTATTATTTTATCAAAAAAATTAAGGGTAAATTACACGTTCCTAACTGAACTGTATTCTCTCCTATTTTCCTCAGCCAACTTTCAATTTGCTCACTGAACTTACAGATTGAATCATTTTTCTCACGCCTCCGATTTCTCTCTAACCTCTGAATGATGTGGCATTTTTTTTAAATTTTTAATATAAAATAATTAAAAATATTAAAAATATATATAAGGTGGCTGGATGTCACCGTCGGCAGTCGTAGATGGTGGTCGTTTGGTCCTAAATTTCATGTGTCGCTTCGCCTTGACACCTCGAGTTCGAATCCAACCTTCATTTTGTCGAAACTTGCTTCGAATTCCATGAATTTGAGATTGAAAGTGAGGAAGTCAAAACATTTCAGTCCATATTCACGTGTTTTGGGACATTTTTCGGTGAAACGACCACCAGATTCAGACTCAGGGGGTCGAGATAAACCGACCCATGAATTTTGAGACCAAATAACCACCCTCAATGACGATGGACGGAATGAAAATGACGTGGTGGCTGGCAGAGAGAAAATGAAGAAGAAAAGGAAAAAAAAAAGGTAAATTACATAATTCCTCACTGAACTTTACTTCTCTCCTATTTTACTCACCGTACTTTCAATATAGATTTCAAAACGACGTCGTTTTTGTGTATATTTGAGTTTTTCAAAATAACGTCATTTTGATGTTTGTGTCATGTCATAACATCGTTAACTACTAAACGATAAAGTAAGCAAAATGATTCAATTTGTAAAGTTCAGTAAGCAAATTGAGCAAATTAAAAGTTGAAGAAAATAGGAGAGAGGAAAGTTCAGTGAAGAACGGTATAAGTTACCCAAAATTTAAAGAAATCTGATCGTTGGATTACGATTATTATCAATGATGATATATATGTTTATTTATAT